TACTTGCTAAGTTTACTCCTTAGTACTTCGTGGCATACAGGATAAAATGCCTTCCTAAAACCTGCGAACAAACTGAGTGTGTACAGTTTATGTTCGATATTTTAAATTAGTTCATGCTTCACGTTAAGCAAAGCTGCTTCACAGAATTTATTTTTTGAAAACCCTATTGAGCCTCATTGATCACACATTTCTTGGTGAAGAACTTATACAAACTAATGGTTATTGCATTCTCAAATACTATAGATAGATCAGGAAGGACGGATTTTGGCCTGTAATTAGTGATCTGCCCTTTATTCACACCTTTAAAGACAGGGCATATTCTCGCTACTTCTAGGTGGTCTGGGAAAATTCCAGTCTGGAACATTGTGTTTACTATAAGCACAATAACAGGAGCGACAACCTCAGCTACATATTTAAATGAAGTTGCCTTTATCTCGTCAAAACCAACTGCTACATCGTTCCTAATCTCTTCATGGTTACCTTATTGCGCACTGCTTGAAAGAAAACACTTGAGATGAAGGATTAACGGATCAAAGCGCAAACTCATAACTCAGTCTAGTAGACAGATAAATGAAGCTTTTATGCAATTGCGTTTCATGGTTACAAAAAAGATTTACAAAATGAATCACAAAAATATTTACACGGTACACAAAATTCAATTGACCTGTCATGCCCAAGTGACCAACTCGCCCAAGCAAGTACCTTTAAAATTCTTAATCTCGTTAATAAATTTCATTACTTCCTCTGATGTCACTGCAGATAGAGACACATAGTTTGTAAGACTGTATGCTTTTAATAGAATACGAGGGACTGTATTGCTATCGCTTGTGTATTCAGCACCGGTCACGAAATACTCATTCATATTATTCGCTGCTTTACTATTAGATAAGGGGGCTGCATTAGTTAAAAGACAAAGTGATGGTGCTGCTTGTCTCTCCTGCATTTTATTCTTTACCTCACTCCGCACTTTCCTAGAATAACATTTTTAATTTTTTAAGCAGCATATCACAATTCGCTTATTCTGCTCGCTTTAACTCGGTGGTCAACCTGTTACGGTATTTTTGAAACTGTGAAAGCGCTTGTGAGTTCTTTGTCTGAACAAATGTGTGGTACATTTTATTCTTCTCCTTGATCATTTTAAGTAATCTTCCACATTTCGCGGCTTTGCCCGTTTGTGTTTCTGATTTTGCGAAGTTATAGGAAATGCTTGATTATAACAAGCTTTGAATTTCTCAAATCATACCTAGTATGCTGCATTGGGGTTTCTTCGTTCAAACAGGCATGTCCAATCGATTGAATATGTGAGCGGAAAACATCCAAGCCTGCACCGCTAATGCTGCGAGACAAGGATTTCACAGTGGTTTTTCATTTGACCTGCTTGTTTGACAGTCGACAAAAGTCTGGAAGATTGTTGCTTAAGTTGACTGTTGGCTCGACAGTCTCGTGAATATGTCAAGTAACGTAGCGCTTTTTTCTCCTAATCTTGTGGCTTCTGTAAAAAGACTAGTGCAGGCGGAGAAGTGAATGATTTCAGCAAACTTTTTAGCATCAGAGTCACATGATAACATATTTATGTTGACGTCTCCCATTATTGCAAAAATCATGAGAAATCAACATAGAAAAGATTGCACGTGCTCCACATAGTCAAAGAAATCTAATTTGTTATCCATTGGTGGTCAATACATAAGAACTAATAAATTCTCTAAATGTGCAAACAAGCATTCAGTACTACGAATAATTACTGAGAACTCAGACATAATTTCATAATTCAGTGACCTTTATCACCACGGTCACTTGAACGCAACCGACCATTGTACATGTTCTCATTAAAAATGGGGTAGTTTCTCAGTTTCTGTTAGCCAGGTTTCCGTGCACATCAAAATATCAAAGCTGCGCGTGATCGAGGCGTACTAGCCACTGAGTCAATCCTCTTTATTTCTAATGCTACGTGTGTTTAGGCCAAAGAAGTATCTGAAACAGTTTTGTTAAAAGTGGCGACATTGTAATAGCTACACCCTTCAGGACTGACCATTATCTCATCATCAGCGTCACGTGAAGTAGCTGGCACAGGCGTACTAGCTATTCACGTGACGCCAGAGACAGCAGAGGTATTGACCTTGAACGCGCTGAAAGGGCATTAAAAGGTCGAGAGATTGCCATGCTGCTCCAGCCACATTTGATGATTCATGGAGACTATGCTGTCTGGCAATACAAGCGTTCGTGGATACCTAGAAGACGTGATCATCAGTAAAAAGATGCCATGAAACGCGCCCAGAAACTGGAAGAAGGGCTGAAGAGGCTACGCAAGTGCAACCATCCTCTCGACAGAAACAAGTGCGGCTTTGCGGTCTGAAAAGTTTTTTTTTTCGGGGCACTGAATCGACGAGACAGGCGTCCACACTAATGAAGAGAAATTTCGAGCCATGACCGAAACTGTAAACAAGTGCTTGAATCTTTTCTCAGGATACTGTTTCTCTACGACAGATTGTTGAAGAACAGGGCAGCACCTGCCAGCTGTCTCTACCGAGAGAATTGATACCTGAGCTTGTTAGTTCAGATTCATGGTACTGCTGTAGTATAAGAGCGCGAAAGGCTACAAAAAGCAGGAGAAACGCTTGCTCGCAACTAAAAGATTTATTAAAAATTATAGCCAATATATCTTTTAGTTTCGAGTTAGGACTTGTCTGAGGTTTCTTTGTAGTTTCTCGTGCACTTAAACAACAGCTATACCATGTGTCTACCAGCCCCTTCAGAAAAACGCCAAGTGGAGATGGGAGACTAAGCATCAATAATTGATTGAGAAGCTTAAGACATTGCTTCTCAGGCTTTACTCGCACACTAAGATGAACAGAAGGAGCTTCTTGCGTCTAGCGACTCGTCACCATGCGACATAGAAGCTGTTCTGTCTCAACGTGATGACTAGAATAGACAGGGCCCTATCGCTTTTGGGTTATTGCGAACCAAGCGTCCCAGTCACTCTGGTGACACCCTCAGATATATTCGAAAAAAAAATCGTGCTGATGCATTGCATTTTAAACAGTTATTTGCTAGGATATTTTGGAGAGAAAAATTTTTTTTGCTCATCTTTTCATGCGAAGAGGCATAGTTTCCGGAAAAATATTTCTTGACCTCTCAAGCAGTTAAATTTACGAGAAAAAAATAACGAATATCACAAAATTGTATTCTTTGTCCCTACTAAGACGCAACTTGCACCATGTGGTGGTCTAACTAAAAACTACCTTCATACCTAAATTGAAAAAAAGTGAACAGTTCATTTATATGGCAAGTTTTATCACTTACAATTTTAGCTTTGAACAAGAAAATAATTTTTGAAATTTCCCATGGACGGCAATGTGGAACTGCAAGGCGAAAGCTGTCGTATGACTAAATGGGGAGCTATCCGTCCCCAGACACGATGGAACACGGTGCACGTTGAGTTCGTGGGGCCACTACTACGGCGCACCTACTTGGTTGTTGTGGACGCACACAAAAAAGTGGATTGAAGTGCGGTACGTGACGTAAGTGACATCTGCGGCTGTCATCGACGTGCTGCGAAGCCTCTTTGAAACGTTTGACAACCTTCTAAAAGTCATCTCAGACAGTGGAAAAGCCTTTATCTTCATCGAGATGAAGCAGTTCTATGCGTCAAACGGCATATAGGTGGCAGAGTCGCCAGCGTACCACCCTGCAATAAACGACCAGGTAGAACGCTATGTGGCGGACTGAAAAAGCGTACTGTTCAGAGATGCAGACACGGGCCCATAGGACCGACTTGCAAGATTTATGTATCTGCAACACACGACAATACACAGTGCCAATAGGAACTGCTCTGTCCTCTCAATTTTCTTAAGCGGGAGGCGAATAAACGAATTCCATAGAGCCAGGAGACAATTACAAGATCATGCCGTTTTGCAGTACGGGAGAGAATGCTTATTCGGCAGTTTTTGAAAAAGCCAGATTGGGATTAGGACGAAATACTGCGCCACATCGAATCAAGATTCTGGCTTCCAAAAAGTGACCACGGAATTGCACGGCATCGGTTTTACCACGTGAAAAACAAACAAACAAAAAAATTAGCCAGACCGGACAAACAACCCAATCGACGACAGATTGGAGCGCAGCAGACGATTTCTTGGATACGACGCCTGAAGATACGCCGTCGAACTCTGCTGCTCAACGGCCTACCTCGCCAGTTATGCAGAAAAACAGTCCCTCGCAACCGTCGACCTCGACGTCACAGGCTGCGACCACTCGGCAACTGCGACCGCCAGAGGTTAGGTGACCTCCAGAAAATAGTTTTCTAAATTTTACTAGAGGGGACTCTGGAATTGAGATATTTCAGCGGCCATGGGAATGATGGGTAGTGCATGGATTGGCCTGGCCTTCATGCTAGCGGGTTTGGAACACAGTTGTGGCTTCGTTTATTGCGGTGTTTTGCATTTGTTTCGAACAAAAGAACGAACCGTTTTGAACTTCGCAACCTGATTTGTATTGGTGGGCCTAAAAGGTTAATGTGGTGGAGTGCAACTGCTGAACATTAGTTGGCATTCGCTTCGTGACAAAGCAGATCCAAGCCACATGAACCCTGCATCGGCTCAACTTCTAGGATCCCCTTGTACCCAGAAACGGCGATGCGAAACATGGCTAGGTGTGGGAGACGTTCGCAACTCCTTCGTTAGCTCGGGTACGTGGCGACACCATTCACAAAGCACCTGATGGCGCAGAAGCCCCTGCGGAGTGGCATTACTATTTATGCCACAAGACCATACCTACTTATGAGCCAATTAAGCCAAAGAACGTAGACGAAAAACCAGTACTATTGAATAGTGTGCGCTACTGACCATCGGTGCTCCTTTATGAGCATTGGATGACTCACTTTTGGGTTTACGATGATGATTAGATATTTTGGGCGATTGATGCAAACTCTTATCGGTTGTTCGTAAGTATGTGTGCCTGAAAATATATGATCATGCTGAGAGTAGCCTTGATCCAGCACTTACGTCGTTCGCAGGTAGTCCGGATACGAACACGGAGCCCTCGATGACTGCCCGGGATACGGGGACACTGAGCCGGCCGGCAGCCTGTACGAGCATGTAGGCGCCCGAGCCATTGCCGACCAGCATTAGCGCCGAAGGGTCAGCGCCGAAGACAGCGGCATTGTCCATCGCCCACTGCATGGCGACCATCATGTCTTCTTCAGCGACGTCCGGAGTGATACCTTCCACTTTTTTGGGGTGTAGAAATCCCAGAACACCTAAGCGCACGTTAGGTGCTACCACCACAGCGTCACCTGGAGAGGAAAAAGGAAACTCTAGACGCAGCAAGAAAAGTGATAGCAATCTAGACGTGAGAGAGGCTTCGGATTCGTTTTGAGCTGTAACAACATCGAATCGCTCACATTGAGCATATAACACGGGCGTAGCCAGAAATTTTTCAGGGGCGAAGCTCCTTAAGGCATGGGTCTGTTCATCCCTTGTATATATGTATGTAGTAGTACGTAGCCACCGGTGGTACATAACCGATACTACAAGTACCGACATCTCCCATGTGGCACATACCCGCTCTAGAGCGGTTATGTGCCACAGGGGATGCGAGATGGGAGATGGCGTTACTTGGAGTGTTCACTAGATGAGCACACGGACGGACGGACAGACAGAGTAGCAGACGGACGGACGGATGGAATGACGCATGGACGAATGGACGCACGAAAAGACTGTCAGGCAGATGGATGGACGGACTCATAGACACATGCACGAATAGGCGGACGGACGCATGAATGTACGCACGGATGGTCGCGCGGATGGACGGAAGCAAGAATGAACGGACGGACAGAAGCACAGACGGACGGACGCTTCGCCCCGCTCATCATCATTGACTCCGTGGATATGCTGTGATTTTTTTTATGTGACTTCCCCCTTCTGGCTACTCTAGTGGTACAGAAAGTACATACAGCATTGGCTATGCACATCATTGCCACAAGGCAAGGAGTTATTGCAGAAATCACTGGGTAATCACCATGGAACATTGGACCTACTAACACGGGCACAACAAAGCAATCAATACACTGAACCTCCGGTGGGTTTAGTTTCTGCACTTCTGTACCTGAAACTGTAGTTAATGTTTCCTTTTGATAAATGTAGACACTAATACGGAATAAAAATCCTTGTCACCCCATTTACGGACATAAAAGAATTTCCGTCATTGTATTCTGGGAAACTGGGTCAACGTCTGGAAAAATTCAAAATGCTAAGCGTTCTGAAAGGGGCAAGTATTGGTTTCAGGGAGATCGCCACGTGGCGTCGAGGAGTGCACACAAGTCCGCATCGGCTCCATCATTCATCGTGCCTACATGCGGTTAGTATCAAGTGACTACCAGTGTAACTTCGGGAATTGTGCAGGAAGACTTCAGGTACATGCTGACGCGAACTTATGGACAAGTAACCCGGTTTTCTCTTAGAATAAAGACCTTCGCTAGAGCATGCCAACCCGCCACACTAAGCCACACTAAGCCACACTAAGACAAAACAGAACGCGGAGCCCTGGTAGCCAGCTTTCAGCCCATGCGTAGCGGTGCACTGGTCCGCACCCCAAGGTTTCCTTTTGCCTGACGAACTGCGACAAGTAAAGTGGACCAGCGACGCCGGGAGCGAGGAAAAAAATCCCAAGCATTTCCCCGAGGATGAACATGGTTAAGTGCGAATGCATGGGGTGATGCTATGAGGGGTATTTATTAATTCGCACTATTATATTTATTAATCACACTATGGTGCCTTTATGGTGTAGTGGTTCCTGGGAATCGTGATTTGGTCACATGGGGGAGTTTACGTTAACTCACTGGCGAATGCCAACGGATTTTAACTTTACTCCCCCTCAGCATCACCCCGTGAATTCGCACTTAACCATGTTCACCCTCGGGGAAATGCTTGGGAGTTTTATTACTGATGATGATGATTAAAGTGTAATTAATGAATCTAAGTGTTGTTTGTCATGAAGCATTTGTACACAGATACATTATATACGAAGTATTATTCATTTACACTTCACGACGCGTCTAGACGAGCAAAGTCCTGGGCTCGCACACTCTCCCGCGCGGCATGTTCACTGGCTGGAACGGCTTCGGGAACGTCCACTCGCCGTTGACGATTGCGAGCGGCGTCTTGACGCCGGCCTTCATCGCCCTTCTCCACCTGACGCTTGCGTTGTCATTCCGCTTCTTGGGCCGCGTTCGCGGCTCGATGCTGACGCCTCATCTCGGCTTCGCGAGCGCGCAGTTCACCATCCGCTGCACGCTTCGCCCGCTTGTCCTCGGCCTCGCGAGCGCGCAGTTCGGCATCCGCTGCACGCTTCGCCCGCTTGTCCTCGGCCTCGCGAGCACGCAGTTCGGCATCCGCTGCACGCTTCGCCCGCTTACGTTCGGTCTCACGAGCCCTTCGCAGCGCCGCCTTGTCTTCCAACGTCGGCGAAACCACCGCGGTACCGTTACCTCCAACGACGGGTGCAGTGCTGGCATTCGGTTGTACTGCATTCGTTGTTGATGGTAGTGTAGCGGAAGCTGCTCAGCACCACCGCATTCTTTTCTATCCCGTCTGCAGCCGGCCGTCGACAGCGCGCCTACTCGCGGCGCCAGCGCCTCCTCCTCCGTGTTCGGGGAACAACGTGTTTTCGGGGCCGGCTCCGGGGATTAGCACCGGCGGCATGCTACGTCTGCTCGCTCGGGGGTCCCCCTTTTCCTCTTTCTTGTAGAAGAACGTGGGGGTGCCTCCTTCTCTCCCTCCTCGAGGGGAACTCTCGTCACTCGCACGGAGTGGAAATAAACAGTCTTGCCCTGCAACTCCAAACCAGCTTCACGTCTCCTTTCTCGCTGCCTCCGGCAGCCGACATTCCCGGCCGCTACAAGATTGGTGACCCGAACGCTTCAACGAACACGCCGCGATGAGCTCCGACGACAACGCTGCTGCCTCCACGCCTGCGGTCATCGCCACAGAACTGAAGCTACCAAATTTTTGGCCGAAAAATCCAAGAGTTTGGTTCAGCCAAGTGGAGGCCCGTTTTCAGCTCCGGCACATCACCTCGCAGTCGACAAAATACCTTCACGTCGTCGCAGCCCTGCCCCCCGAAATCGCCGACGCTATCGACGACATTTTGGTTTCACCCCCCGCGCAAAAAGAATATGACACCCTCAAAAAGACGGTGCTGGATCGCCTCGAGGTGCCTGAAGAAAGTAGACTGCAGCAGCTCTTGTGTCGCGAAGAGCTGGGCGACCAACGACCTTCCCAACTGCTGCACCGTATGCGGCAACTACTCGGTGTGCACGCGCGTCAGGACGGCCAGCTCTCACTTCTTCGTGAACGTTTCCTGCAACGGCTCCCCCAGTCGGTGCGCGTGGTTCTCGCGGGTTCAAATGAGACGTCCCTTGATCGACTAGCGCAACTTGCCGATCGCATCACGGAATACTCAACTCCAACCTTTGCGCCCATAGCTGCTGCAAGAACACATGAGCAACCAGATCGACTGTCGCGCCTTGAGGAGAAACTGCAACACCTTACCGAGACCATGCAGAAACTTGTGCTATCTGGCGCTCCCCAACAGGAAGAGCAACGACGCAACCGATCCCCTTCAAGACACCCAAGCTCTTCCCAGAGAAGCCATGCACGAGATACACAGGACGGAGTTTGCTGGTACCACCGTCGTTTCGGCACGGGTGCTAGCCGCTGCACTCAACCTTGCTCGTTTCCGGGAAACACTCCGGCCAGTCGTTAACGGCGGCTTACGACATCAGCCCTCCACCCAGCCGCCTGTTTTTCGTAGTCGACCGCGTAAGCAACTCGCGCCTGCTAGTCGACACGGGAGCCGAAATCTCTATTGTCCCGGCAACCCCCGAGGATCGCCGACGTAGCAAGAACACATCGTCGCTGCAGGCAGTGAACAACACTGCCATCGCTACGTACGGCTTCCGCTCGCTGACAATAGACGTCGGACTCAGGCGCCTGTTTCGCTGGGTCTTCGTGGTGGCGGATGTTAATTTCTCCATACTCGGAGCAGATTTTCTCAGCCACTTCAACCTGGATGTGAGCGTACGTGACCGTTGCCTCAAGGATAACAACATATCCCTCAAAGTACGTGGTTTGGAGTCAAACATCTGCTCATCTGGCATCTGCGCCTTCCAGCCAGTATCAGCCTACCACCACGTCCTGGCCGAATTTCCCTCGCTCACCAAGCCCCGCAACACGGAACAGCCGGTGAAACATAACGTGACTCACCACATCGTCACCACCGGGCCGCCAGTCACCGCCCGGCCACGACGGCTGTCCAGCAAAAGACTTCAAGCTGCACGCAGGGAGTTCGAGCATATGCTGCAGCTGGGAATTGTTCGCCCTTCGTCTAGCAACCATCATCGCCGCTACACATGGTGTCTAAGGACGACGATTGGCGCCCGTGTGGTGATTACAGAGCCTTGAACGCATCGACAACGCCGGACCAGTATCCTCTGCCACACATTCACGATTTCAGCGCGCGGCTGGCAGGTACGAAAATATACAGCAAGATCGACCTCGTAGCGGCATACCACCAAATCCCCGTCGAACCGCAGGACATACCAAAAACAGCCATAACAACTCCGTTCGGCCTGTTTGAGTTTGTCCGCATGCCCTACGGCTTGAAAAATGCCGCACAGACCTTTCAAAGGTTCATGGATGAGGTCACCCGGGGCCTTCCTTTCATCTTTGTCTACCTGGATGACATTTTGGTGGCCAGCAGAACGCCTGCGGAGCACGAAGAGCACCTCCGCCAGCTCTTTCAGCGTCTGGATGAGCACGGTCTGGTGTTGAAACCTCATAAGTGCGTGTTTGGAGTAGAGGCGCTCAAATTCCTCGGCCACCACATCACTGCTGAAGGCATTATGCCATTGGAATCGATGGTGGAATCCGTCAAGAACTTTCCAGCTCCAACATCTTTTCGCAAGCTGAGGGAGTTCCTCGGGCTCTTAAACTTCCACCGGCGGTTCATTCCGTCTTGTGCTCGAGTGCTCCAGCCATTGACCGACCTGCTGCGCCGAGACGACCAAAAGGCACCAGAATTTTGTTGGTCTGACGAACACCAGAACGCTTTTCAGAAAGCTAAGGACGAGCTAGCCGTGGCTACCCTCCTCATTCATCCACGGCCTGAAGCTCCTACACGCCTCATGGTGGACGCTTCCTCCACATCGGTTGGAGCAGTGCTTCAGCAACAGGAAGGCGCCCAGTGGAAGCCACTGGGCTTCTTTTCGAAACGTCTGAAGCCTGCAGAAGCACG